CAGCCATAATTTTCACAGGTATGTAACAGGGAAGCAATTCCTTTTATGTTCCCAGAAACACATGTAAGGAAATTAGCCACAGGTACTCACGGGGGGAAGTAACCCAAAATGCATCTTATGTCATGCCACCGAGACCCTGGGGGTATAACTAGGGTGAGGAGTTCAGGATGAAGGGTATTCTCGGAAATTCAAAGGAGTTTAGGTGGAGAGGAGGGAGAAGAGAAAACAAAGTGGCAAGAGGGTAAGTGCCAAATGCACAAGGAGTTGAGAAAAAAGAAAAGGAGTACTTGTGGCACCTTAGAGACTAACCAATTTATTTGAGCATAAGCTTTAGTCTCTAAGGTGCCACAAGTACTCCTTTTCTTTTTGCGAATACAGACTAACACGGCTGTTACTCTGAAAGGAGTTGAGAGGAGATACGACAGGTCGGCTGTAAAAAAAGGAAGATGTGAGACAGCCACGCTCTCAAGTCAGAGTGGGAGAAAAAAAAATCAGGTCGGGGGGGGCAGCTCAAATGAACGTATCCTCTTTGTATCCTACTTTGCATCCATGTCGAATGCAAAATAAATGATTATTCCCCAACCCCTCTCCATTACAAAAGCAGAGGGGGGGGAAGGGAGAAAGAAGGGTGAACATCTTGAGCACATTTTAAAAAGGGTTTGGGGCTAAAATACACATATCTTTGCATCAAAGGTTAGGATCATACAAAACAGATACTACTGAAGAATCTGCTGGAAAAAAATCAGAGGGATTTGAGTCTGAGCATCTGATGGTTCCTCCTTACTTTACATATAGGGAAGATGGCACATATAGGGATGCAGAGCTGAGGTGGGTGTTTCTCCTTTACTGCTGGTGACAACAGCCTGGCAACAACTGCTGAATAGCAAAGGTAAATCCCAAGGCAACATATGGTTAATGTGTTTTATTATATAGAGGCAATGCACTTTGCTGCTTCTCAGTTTGGAGAAGCTAATGAGCTGGCCACCCTGCCCGACCTTAAAAATAATCGGAAAGGCTATAAAATTAGGTCACGCCTTTCTCCTTCGCCAGCTTCCTTGCCATAGTAAACAGGGCTTTTTTTTTTTTTTTTTAAACTACATCCCAGCTGCAGTGGGGAAAAAAATCTTTATTTTGTGCCCATTCCAGCTCACTTTCCTTTTTCTCAGGCTCTTTTAAAGATGGATTCTTTCACACTGTATTTTAGGAATTTTAATATAAATGCCCTGCGTTTGGTGGCTAGGAAGCAGAGGGCACTCACTCTGTCCTACTCTCTGTTGGGATGTAAGGAAAGATCCCAAGTAAGGTTTTAGACAAAAATTCTACTAGACTTCCCTCTTCTTCCCCATCTTCAGGGAACCCAGCCACTCTCAAATTATTTCTTCTGGACCAGCTCTCCAAATCATTCACTCTATCTTGTAGATTTTGGATCAGACTTTGTTGCTTGTCTATTAGAGACACGAGGTGGGCTTTTAGTGGACCAACTTCCATTGGTGAAAGAGAAGCTTTTGAGCTACACAGAGCTATTCTACAGGTCTGGGAAAGGTCGTCAAAGTGTCACCTGAATACAAAGTGTAACAGATTGTTTAGCATAAGTAGTTAACACATATTGCAAGACCCCATTCAAGGTGCTGATCTACAATGATCCTAACAGAGCCCTCCCTGATCCTGGAGGATAGCTCCTGCAAACTGACCTGTTGTGCTGCAGCTGTGGCTTTAATTTCAGAAATATCCTCTGATATTTTTTGAAGCATAATCTGTTCTTCTGATACCTGCTTTAGCATTTTATAGATCTGATACAGGCCTATCAGGGTCTCCACTGTGAGTGGTGCCATGCTGCACTGTACAAGGCTGTCAGAGAGCCTCTGCTTCTCTGCAATTTGTGGGGAGTCCCAGGAGGAAGGGGGGTTCAAAATGAGATCCATCTGCTACTAAGATGTTAAAAGCAGGATGAACCACCCAGAGGCAAAAACTCTGCCTTACTTTAGCAGATGTTAGCAGATTTTAGTGGAGCTAAGCAGCAGTTCCAGGTTTAGGCAGCCATCTTCCCCTGCTGCATCCGCCCAGTCCACACACATTTGTTTTGAAATGTTTTAAAGTCTTTTAGACGGGAACTTTTATTTAGCATTTTAAACTGGTGTGGAGAAAGTCCCCTTGACCTCACATCCTTTGCCCACCAGTTCACATTGCCTTTGCCTCCCCATTTCTATTTGACTAACTACAGGACTGTTTGTATACCTTTAATAGGCTTGGAAGGATTAGGTTTTATTGGTGTCAATTTCACCATACACACACATAAACCAAGGAAAAAATATTTCCATCCATAACAGAAAAGTACAGATAGGCAAAGAAAGAAAAAAATGCTGCTTTAGAACTTGGAGTTTAAAGATACTTTTGTATATTTTGACATGAGATGTTGACAATTTGTGTTTTAACCATTATAAAGCTTTAACTTTTTGAATCTTAATGTCTACTGTCATTAAATAGTCTGACTTTGCCCCATAATTTCCTTCAATTGTGAAAATGCAAATCAAATCATTTTAAATGGTTTAAAACAAACACTGGTGATATCTGTCCAAATTATTTAAAAAATGAATTCTCCAAGCCTAGCCATAACAAAAGAATTGCATAGTTTGCACTTGCTATTGAAGTTCTGTAGTTTCAATTACTATTTTTAATGACATCCTTCTCCAAATGAGAAATTACATATACATGGCATGAGCTGCAGAAAAGGCATAGTCCCTATAAAATCACACTCAACTAACTGCCTTATATTTGAAAAGTGACACAAACACAAGAATTACTTCTACTCTTGGAAAGCTGGTCATTTTAATGCTCAAGAAACACAAAACCAGAAGAGAGGATGATGCTACAAATGAATGTTCTGAGGAAGAGGTCAAAAATAAGGGAAAAGGTTAAAAGTTGCTAGATTTAAGGAGTGCCTGAAGCACAAAATAAGAGTCAGCAACAAATTTTACACCTTGACTTGCCAGAGCTCAAGGGCCAACTCCAAACCCTGACATTTGATAGAAGGACAGTGACAAATTCATGAAGGAGATACACGGATAACCTTCACAAAAGCTAGGCATCAGTCACTGTGCATTATTCACCATGCTTAAATTCATCTCAAACATACACCATCCCTGCTATTCTAAATACCAGCTCTTCTTCTGCAAAGACTGCAAAAGCTGTGTGGTAGTAATGTCAGTCAGTCAAACGCCATTAAAAGACTATGCTGAATCAAATGCACAAAGTTTTTTACCATCAAATCTAATCAAAAATTGAACCCAGACCCCAATAAGTGAAAGGACTGAGTACTAACTTGCTGTTTAAAAACCTGCTGTGTTTGTTTTCACACATGCATTCCAATAAGGCACTGTACTGTCAACTGAAACTCCAGTTTGGAAGACAACACAGAATCCACATATTCATACTATAGGAAAGACACCTATTTAAGTCTTACATAGACAGAAAATTAATCAAGTCTCAGAATGGCAGGTGTACCCCCTTTAGGAGCTTCATTTCCATTCTTGCATGCAAACTGTAAGAGTAAAGAACGGAAAAAATTGTTTTAAAATGTTTTTCTTTTTAATACTATTGTACCTAAGTTGTAAAGAGCGTTCTTTTGAAAAAACAGATTTTTACAGATAAAATGTGTAATACATAGCATATGATGGAAAGGCTCTACTATGTCTACTCAGTGACCAGACTCTTAATACAGATTCTTAATTTGTAACACTAACATTTTAAAAATTATATTAATTCAAGAAAACATTTTTGCTCTCCTGTAACTTTTCTGTGACCAGAGACAATAAGATTTTTATGCCATGTTTCAGCAGAAAACAAGTATAAATGCTTAAACTATAAACCCCTGAAAATAAGGGTCTAGAAAGGAAATGCTGACAGCAGCGTTACCAGGTGCAGATATAATAAAATTAAGTTTCTATCTAAGGAAAAAAATCCTCACATACCAATCTGCTACTCATTAACCAGTATTTACTTTCCAAATAATGTATAGCTACTACTTGTAAAATAACAGATGTGGTGATCCTTCCCGTACAGAAGCTTGTTCCACTACCCATGAAAGAGAGCAGGGTTCAGACAAAGATGGAAAGTGCATACATTTCTGAATCTGACAAGTTTTATTGACATGGGATGTAAGGAGACAGACTGAAACTGTAAGAACTTCACTGTATTCTAATCTCTTGTGAAGTTAAAACTTTGAGCTGGCACTTCACTTGCTCTCTACTGATAAGTAATCTTACTGGATTTTCAGTTACTGAGTGAAGCACAAGGTGCCAAAAAGAAGGAAAGCAATAGGTATATTGATGACATTTGACTATTTCACAGCATGCCCATTGTAGAAACTGACAGTTTCTAAACAGGGTTAGTGATTCATTCGCCACATAATTCCAGGTGCCCATTAGTCCTGCTTTGATCATAACATACATAAATGATAAAGACAAACATTCACATTATTTAAATATAAATAATGAAACTCCCATATGAAACACGCAGAACTTTTCTATTGATTTCAATGTGCAAGGTTATGTAACAAAAGTGCTTTATAAGTACTAGTGCAAATATTTTTACTCATATTTTCTGCACAAAAAAATAAATTCATGTAGTGAATGCTCTTTAAAACTTCCTATGGCTAACTATAAATCATCACTACCTTTATGAAAGTATTTATAAAAAATGTATTTAACACTAGAGACATCACTTGAACTGTGAGTCTATCCCAAAGAAAAATAGTGCTGAACAGACCAATACTTTCTGGATTTCTTCATGACACATTTGTACACTTGCCCCATTGAAGAGAAGAAAAAACGATTTGCGCTGTGTTAGTCCCCGTTATAATTCCCAGCTGTGTCAAAACTTTAACAGCCTAAAAGCAGGAAATCCAAGAGGAAATTCCATCGTCAGTTCCTGGAGTTTTGTAACCCAATGTTCTTCCAAAAGGAGATCTTACAGGAATTTGGTAGCATTTGCTGTAACCTTACCTCATATCTTCAAGTAGATCACATTCTCCCTGATGCTTGGCCTGAAGTTTTGTCATCTGCTCAATTTGAATGTTTTTTAGCTCTTGTGTAACTTTTACCTACAAAAAAGACAGATCATATATTTTATGTAGGGTCCAGCTGTCATTTCAGTGGGGAAAAATATTTGATTTCCTTCATCTAACTTTATAATCTAACTGTCCATCAGAATGTGCAAATTAAACATTTTCAGTATGTGTAAACCTGTTTTGCTTGGTTAACATAACCCTATGCATCTACTTAACCAAAGACTGATTTTACTATATATTGTTTGGATCTAACCCTGCAGTGTCTGCATTTCATACATCAAGCACCTCAGAGCTGTGTCTTGCTTGTTGACAACAAATATGCATGTTTTCTTCTTCCAAACCTCTGAGGATAAACCTGTCTACAACAAAAGAGGTTCAGCTTAAACAAATAAAGGAGTTGGGGGAAGAAATAACCTGCTGCAGATTTAACACTTAATAAAAACAATTTACACATTCCTGAAATGTGCATTGATTAAACACTCCTACAATGGTTTCATGAACATGCCTTTAAACGCAGTCATGTGGTTGCCAGTATATCAGATCAAAAGTCTCCCTCCTTAACAGTATGACTTCAGAAAGGTTGTGCCTTTTTTTATCACTATAATATACCTGCTTTATGTTTTGAATCTTATGGCATTAAGATTTCAACAGCCTGGGTACCAGAGTGATAGCTGATAGCATGGCAGTGGGTGGGGGAGGGATTGTTGTGATAAACATTAACCCCAGAAAAGGACTGACTTGGCCACAGAAACATGGGGTTTTTAAAACAAGAGATCTCGATCAATCAACGTGTTAAATGCCAAGATGCATCTATGTAGCAGCCTAAAAAAGAAACAGCATCCACGCATCTAAAAATCTGATGCATGCATGAAGGGGGAAATAAATAACAGTTTCTGCTATGGGGGAGGGGAAGAGAGAAAGACAGGGACGAGGTGAAGAAAAGGATCTGCCACAAACCTCCCCTTTCTCTCAAAGCAAAACAACCCTCCAGATCTCATCTGCTAGCAACAGCTTCCCCCTCAACACCAAAAATAATCCCCCAGCAACAAGAACCCCCAATCCTAGCACTACAGCAAGATAAGTTTCACACCTCAGCTCCTTTCAAGATACAGCAAAACATACAAACCCTATGCTCTGATTAAGCAGAAAAGGGGTTTAGGTTTTTTTAAAACAATACAAATGTTGAAACCTACATAGTGAAAATAAAATTGCATGTAAAAAATACAAGAGGCAAAGCATAAAGAACACATGCAATATAAATGAAATGCCAAATGCAAACTAAAATCCCATGAAACATAAATAAGAATCCTTCAAAGGAAGCAGAGTCTATCCTCACAACAACAGAGGCAGAGTCATTAGGAGTCCCCTGCAGCTGGATGCCCAGAGCAGCCAGGGAGCCCAGAGAATGACAGGAGATGGACAAACAGCAGCCTTTTGTTTACACAACACAGACACCCCCACCCAATAACCCTCACCCACGCAACTCCCTCCACACAGGCACCCACAAACCATTTCCTACATACACAATTAACTCTATCCCACTCCATATGCTAACCCCCATAATCTCTTCTACTCACAGAATAACCCTCTCAACCCCAATCTATATAACTCCAACCCTCCACACCAACATAATCATCATATCAGTCCCACTGTAAACTATTCCAACCCCAATCTCCCACATCAATCCAATGAACCTCCTCTCCATACAACCATCAAAACACAACTCCCCCACTTCAACAACCCTCATCTACACAATCCAGCCATACTCTATCACCTCAGGTTTCAGAGTAGCAGCCGTGTTAGTCTGTATTCGCAAAAAGAAAAGGAGGACTTGTGGCACCTTACAGACTAACAAATTTATTTGAGCATAAGCTTTCGTGAGCTACAGCTCACTTCAGTACCTCAGCAGAGACCATTCCCTAACCCTAGCCCCTTTTTCACCCCAATACAGACAATTCCAAATCCCCCATACTCCAACATGCATCCACACAACCAGCAAGGTGAATTAAGCTCTCAATCCTATTTGATACACCTCCAGCCCGATACAAGCCAAGCCCTACCCAAACCCCCCAATACAGATAAAAACATACCCTCACATACCCCAACCTCTACACACAAACAACCCCCAACTCCTCACTCCCAATACACCCGAGCCCCCAGCGCCCCACCCCAATACAGCCTGTGGCACCCGGCACCTCCACACCAACCCCCCACATCCCAATACACCAACCTGTGTACAGCTAATGCCCCTACCCCAATACACCCAGCACCCCACATGCTCACAGTGTAGCCCCCCAAACCTAATACAGCCAATGCCACCAGTACTGCCAGTGCCACCCCACACCCAGATGATCCCCAATACACCCAGCCCCAACCCCCCAGTGCCACCCCACACCCACTATACCCCGATCCCCAATCCACCCAGCCCCAACCCCCCAGTACAGCCAGTACCCGGTCCCTGAACCCCAGTGCCAGCCCCTCCCCCACTATACCCCAATCCACCCAGCCCCAACCCCCCAGTACAGCCATACCCGGTCCCTGAACCCCAGTGCCAGCCCCACCCCCACTATACCCCAATCCACCCAGCCCCAACCCTCCAGTACAGCCAGTACCCGGTCCCTGAACCCCAGTGCCAGCCCCACCCCCACTATACCCCAATCCACCCAGCCCCCCCCCCCGTACAGCCAGTACCCCGGTGCCTGAACCCCAGTGCCAGCCCCACCCCCACTATACCCCAATCCACCCAGCCCCAACCCCCCCCCGTACAGCCAGTACCCCGGTGCCTGAACCCCAGTGCCACCCCCACTATGCCCTGATGCCCAATCCACCCAGCCCCAACCCCCCAGTACAGCCAGTACCCGGTCCCTGAACCCCAGTGCCAGCCCCACCCCCACTATACCCCAATCCACCCAGCCCCAACCCTCCAGTACAGCCAGTACCCGGTCCCTGAACCCCAGTGCCAGCCCCACCCCCACTATACCCCAATCCACCCAGCCCCAACCCTCCAGTACAGCCAGTACCCCGGTGCCTGAACCCCAGTGCCAGCCCCACCCCCACTATACCCCAATCCACCCAGCCCCAACCCCCCCCCCCGTACAGCCAGTACCCCGGTCCCTGAACCCCAGTGCCACCCCCACTATGCCCTGATGCCCAATCCACCCAGCCCCAACCCCCCAGTACAGCCAGTACCCGGTCCCTGAACCCCAGTGCCAGCCCCACCCCCACTATACCCCAATCCACCCAGCCCCAACCCTCCAGTACAGCCAGTACCCGGTCCCTGAACCCCAGTGCCAGCCCCCCCCCACTATACCCCAATCCACCCAGCCCCCCCCCGTACAGCCAGTACCCCGGTGCCTGAACCCCAGTGCCACCCCCACTATGCCCTGATCCCCAATCCACCCAGCCCCAACCCCCCAGTACAGCCAGTACCCGGTCCCTGAACCCCAGTGCCAGCCCCACCCCCACTATACCCCAATCCACCCAGCCCCAACCCTCCAGTACAGCCAGTACCCGGTCCCTGAACCCCAGTGCCAGCCCCACCCCCACTATACCCCAATCCACCCAGCCCCAACCCTCCAGTACAGCCAGTACCCCGGTGCCTGAACCCCAGTGCCAGCCCCACCCCCACTATACCCCAATCCACCCAGCCCCAACCCCCCCCCCCCGTACAGCCAGTACCCCGGTGCCTGAACCCCAGTGCCAGCCCCACTATGCCCTGATGCCCAATCCACCCAGCCCCAACCCCCCAGTACAGCCAGTACCCGGTCCCTGAACCCCAGTGCCAGCCCCACTGCCACTGTACCCCAATCCCCAATCCACCCAGCCCCAACCCCCCCAGTACAGCCAGTACCCCAGTCCCTGAACCCCAGTGCCAGCCCCCCCCCACTATACCCCAATCCACCCAGCCCCAACCCCCCCCCCGTACAGCCAGTACCCCGGTGCCTGAACCCCAGTGCCACCCCCACTATGCCCTGATGCCCAATCCACCCAGCCCCAACCCCCCAGTACAGCCAGTACCCGGTCCCTGAACCCCAGTGCCAGCCCCACTGCCACTGTACCCCAATCCCCAATCCACCCAGCCCCAACCCCCCAGTACAGCCAGTACCCCAGTCCCTGAACCCCAGTGCCAACTCCACCCCACCCCGATCCCCAATCCACCCAGCCTCAACCCCCCCCAGTACAGCCAGTCCCCCGGTCCCTGAACCCCAGTGCCACCCCCACTATGCCCTGATCCTCAACCCACCCAGCCCCAACCCCCCAGTACAGCCAGTCCCCCGGTCCCTGAACCCCAGTGCCACCCCCACCGCCACTGTACCCCCATCCCCAATCCACCCAGCCCCAACCCCCCCGCACAGCCAGTCCCCCGGTCCCTGAACCCCGGTGCCACCCCCCACCCCATGCAGCCCGCCCCAGCGGCTCCCCGCGGCGCCCACCTTCCTCGGCGGGGGCTGCATGGCGCTGCCGTCGCTCTCCGCATCAATCCCCGCTCAGCAGCGGGACGCGGCCCCCGCAGCGCGGGGAGGAGCCGGCGCCGGGATGGGATGCGCGGGGGCGGGGGCGAGCGCAGCGCGCGCGGCTCCCGGCGGGGATGGGCGGGGGCGGCTCCCTCACGCGGACTCCATGGCCCGGCGGCGGCGGCGGCGGCGAGGCACCGAGCGGCTCTGGGAGGCGGCGGCGAGTCCCGGCCCGGGGGAGGGGGAAGGCGGGGACGGCCGGCCCTCAGCCAGCCCCCGGCCGCGGGGAGGGTGGGAAGGCGGCTCCGCAGCGCCCCGCCGCGGCCGCCAGCGGGGGGGGGGGGGGAGCGTTCCCTGGAGGCCAGTGGGGAAATGGCGCCGCGGCGCGGCCGAGACCCCGCCGGACGGCCCCCGCCCCGCCTCCGGCAGCCACAGGCAACGGTCCGCCCAGCCGGGTAGACGTGGGGGCAAAACCATAGAGAGCGGGGCGGGACGGACGCCTCCCCGCCAGGCGGGGGCGGGGCTCGGCTCGGCGGCTAGCGCGCGAGAGGCCGCGGCCGGCTGGGGGCGCGTGTGCGCGCGCGCGCGCGCGGGCTGCGCGGCCCTCGCTCGCGCCCCTCCGGGTGCCTCTGTGCCGCGAGCGCCCTGGGCTGGGGCTGCACGTGCGGCTGGCGCGCGGGGCGGGGAGCTGCAGACGCAGCAGCGGTAGCCGGGGCCGGGGCCGGGGCCGGGGCCCGGGCCCCACCTGAGCGGAGGAGCTGCCGGCGTAGCAGCGCTCCTGGGAGCGGGGCAGGCGAGCTGTAGCTACCGGGGTGTCCGAGGAAGCGGCCGCCCTAGTGATGGGATAGCTGTTTACTCACCCGGTGCGAAGGGTCAGGGCGGGGGATAGGCAGCAGGCACGGAGAGAGCAGCACTGGTTGCTCTCTCCCAGGTCAGCAAGTTGCGCTGCCGTTTGTCCGCTGGCGGTGAGCAGGGTTGCCCCGAAGGCAGTGCGCTCAGCTACGCGAACGGAAAGATCATCCCTGGTCCAGGGAGCTTTCGGGCTAAAGCGAGGCGCCCAGAATGTGGGATGCAGTGGGAAACCAAACCTCAATTGGGAAAGGTGTTTGTTTTTTTGTTTTGTTCTGTTTTAATGTTGTGGCTTGTTGTAAACTCACTCGTAGGCCAGGGCCTTAGGGACAAAGTGTGTTTCTGGCGGGAGGCCTGGTGGCTTGTCCGGTGGGGATGGGAAGGGCATTCTGCGCAAAAAGAAAAGGAGTACTTGTGGCACCTTAGAGACGAACCAATTTATTTAGTCTCTAAGGTGCCGGGAGTACTCCTTTTCTTTTTGCGAATACTAACACGGCTGCTCCTCTGAATTCTGCGCAAAGACAGCAGTGTGGGAAAAGGCTGTGCAGAGATGAGAGCAGCAGGCGAGTGAGGTATTGGCACTGGTTTCCATGGGAGGGCTGGATGGGGGCGATCCAAGGTCTAAGATATAAGCAGGAGTAGAGTTGTGAAAGGCTTTTAAGGCAAAGATGTGTTTACACTTATGGTGCCGTAAAGGGGATTCAACAGTGGGATCTGAAGAGGGGAGTCCTGATTAGATAGTTGTGTAAATGAGAAGTAGTCACTAATTCTATAAGGGGCTTGGAAGTAGGGAGGCTTTCTTACTAAATCCCTCTCAGATCTTCACCTGTCTCTGTTGCGTATTTTCGCTAGCAGGTGTCCCTGACTTTGGTGGCCCTTAGGTGGAAACAGCACATTGCTGCGATCACTTACTGGTCTTTACCTCCTGAACAGCAGCAGACTAATGAATTACAGTGTTCTGCGCTCAATCCTTCCTAGCGCTCCTGGCAACAGCTTCATTCAGACTGATTGGAAGGCTCCCAGTTTATTTCACTCACAGCCTCCAGCTGCCATGGAACCTTTGCCAAGGTTCCTCTGTGTCCCAGTTTGCCTCTGGTACTTGGATTGAGGTACCTGAGCTGTACCCGTTCTGTGCATGAACCAAGGTTTTCACTCTCCAAGGCTATTAATCCTGACCTTTTTGTCAATATGCAAATTATGGCACAGTTAATTTAAAAGTGCTGTGTGATTCTTTACAATGAAAGTTTCTGTATAAACAGGGCTTCAAAACATTGGCAGAGTTAGGTATAAACATGAGGTAAGGAGGCTCCCATCAGGAAGGTAGATGGTGCTGATCCTGCCCTCTGCTTGAGGGCTCCATCTTCTGCTGGAATGGATAAGGAGCTCTATACTTCCCAGGTCAGCCTTAAAACATCTGGATTGTTGGGGCTATCTTTGCTATTCTTCCACCCTCTTGAGTATTGTGGTCTCTGCTACTTTAGTGTTTTTGGATTATCTTTCCCACAGAAAAGCCCCTCAGGCACTGTTCAGACCTTTCCCAAGCATCAACAGTATGAAATTGTCATGAGCTGTGTCGGTTCTCCCGCTGTAGTTCTGAACAGCAGATGTGAACATGAGTTTTATTCATTTTACTCTGCTGCTGCCTTTCACAGGCACCATCCTGCAAGGTGCTGAGTGCCTTCAACTCCCAGGTTAATCAGAACCAGGGCCAAAGGGTGGCATATTTCTCTGCTCCTTCCAACATGGGCTCTGACTTGTTGACAGTGTTAGCTCTTCTTGCTCCCTAGGTGCCATGGAGACAGCACCTGAGGGGAAATGACAGCCAGGTTGGTTAGTTTGTGGTTGTGTAAAAGTTTACTTTGGACATCAGTTTTGTCATTAAATAGATATTTTCCCTCTGATTTAGTTAAGATCACCCATACAACCTTAACTTGGCCATTTTCTGATTTTTGAGTGCTTTTCTTTGCAACCTTGATGATTTCGTACATTTTGGAGTATGGCGTTGCAGCTTAATAGCTATTACTTAAATTTGAATCAAGTACTTTACAAAATATTGAATGATGGGCACTTTTCAATGAAATACTCGTGCCATCGATTATTACAAAAGTTTCAAAGTGGGAGGATCTGATAATACTGAAATAAGTTGGCAGTAAACATACCATGAATGCACTTGGATTGCTGGGCCTGACTTCATTTATCATATTAGATCCGATGACGTGAAGAGCCCAGTGGGATGTAGGAAATATCCATGTGCATTTCATGAAAAACTTGCCTTGAATCATGTTCACTAATGCTTAACTTCACCAGTGCTCTTATCAGTCTACGGAATTCTTTGCCTCACTGTTCCCACACTGTTGAAGTTTTATTCTATTTCAGGTTTGTTGATTGTTTATGAAGTGGGCTATTCCTACTCAAAGTTGACATCTTTATAACTTCCAATAAACAAATACCCTAGCGGATCCTGATACTTAAATAGAAGTAATGTGTCCTTATTTCCACCTGAATTATTAGTGATTATATTTATTTAGTATTGTCGTTAGGTAAGGGAATTAGCTTTCCCTAGGAGACCTTTAGTAAAGGATTTCTAAACTACAGTGCACCAGTTTGTAGTGTTAATGTTGTGGTTGAACACTGCATCTCACTGTAGTTAAACTGTCTGCAGTGTGTAATCCTACTGACCTCTAATGGCTATATAAACAGTTTTGTATCAGGATAACTAGCATTTCCTTCTTCAAAGATTTAGATAGGTCAGATTATAATCTCCTGCTCTATTGGGGAGTTTCTCATTAGGGGCCATAGCATCACCTATAGTAGAGAAGAGGCAGGGGGGGCTCTTTTGTAATGACTATAAAAGATACTATTTTTTGCGACTGCTGGACATAGTACGTGTGGTTCTTGCCCTCTAGCTCCTAAATCGAAATGCAGCTTATGTTGCCTGAAATCATCTCTCAGCCCTGGCCTTCATGATCACCCACAGAAGGGGTTGCAAACTACTATATAGACAAATGTGGTTCTGTTTCATGGGGTGGTAGAGGCATTAGTTCAAGGAAGCACTGCCTTCCATTTGCTTTAGAGCTAAGATCATAGAATATCAGGGTTGGAAGGGACCTCAGGAGGTCATCTAGTCCAACTCCTTCTCAAAGCAGGACCAATCCCCAATTTTTGCCCCAGATCCCTAAATGGCCCCCTCAAAGATTAAACTCTCAATCCTGGGTTTAGCAGGCCAATGCTCAAACCACTGAGCTATCCCTCCCCCCTGCAGTGGTTCCAGCTGTTGTAGCAGTCAGAGAAGCTTGGGGGCAGGTAGAGCTGTGACTTTACAGATCTATTGGCCAAAATTTCTTCTTCCTTACACAGGGAGGGGTTACTGCAGTATTATCCACAGTCTCAACGGATTCCTGTCCCCTCTACTCTTGCAGAACTCACCGGAGCATAGTCATAATTATACCATGGACACTTCACAGGATTTGCTCCATGAACTATAGCCTATGCCATACAAAAATGACTTAGCAAGACTCTCAACCAGAATACTCCAGCCCTCTTTGTTTGTGAATTTGGCTCTTCTCTCTCTGATACCAAGCTTGTTTTCAGGAATGATGGCAAAGTATTTGGTTATTCACTACACAGCCAAATGCTGCTCCTAGAGACACTTGCAGCCAGCAGTCATGTGCTGTGATCATCAGATCTCAGACTAAGCAGGAATGGGCAAAATCAGCACTAGGTTGGGAGATCTCCAAGGAAAACTCTGGTGCTGCAAGAAGTGGGGTAGTCTCTCAGTGTTTGGGCTGTTGAATCAGTGCCCCCATCAGGATGTTAGGAGACACTGATTGCTGTTGTGTGATTGAGATGTGACATCAAGGTTCCAGCCATCTGTGGTCATTAGTGATTCTGTGGCACTTTTCATGAGGAGTGGTGTTAATCTTGGTGTCTTGCATAATTCTGATTTAGGGGATTATATCCTGCCTCCATAAAACAAATTTCCTCCTATTTTTTTGTACTAGGTCTGACGTTCTTGACTTGTCCTAAACAGCTGAATACCAATGCTGTGCTCTGATACGTCTTTACCTTGTTCAGTCCTGGAAGTGGAAGCAATTTAGGGATGGTTGAAGCATTTTCTGGATGTATGCTAGGCAGTGTATTGGTTGTAAAGTGCTTTGGTGTGACAAGTGTCAAGTTTAATCACTATTTAATAAATGGCTGTTGCACCACTCACATATAGTTCTCCTGGAGGAATTCTGCACCACTGCGTGTACACACATTTCATGAGCCGTACATATTTTTAATTTTCTTTTTTTTTTTGCAAAAAATAGCTTCTGCTGAAACGTTGCTGAGGTTCTGCCTTTTGCCCACCAAAGGGCACTGTGGCAGTAGAACAGAGCAGCCGTTCCTGCCCCGCCCCAGCTACGATAGGGAAGAGAAAAAGCCTGCAGTGCCTTCTTCACAGC